GTTGCTAAAGGTACAATTTAAGCCATTTAAGAATTAAAATGCTTACATAACATGTCCTTTATTACATTTAACCTGTTGTGGAAACATTTATTGATCAAATTGATATGAAACAAATTAGACAAACATCGCTGTGACACTGCTGACACTGATCGGGACTTTAACCCTAAACTTTCACAGTAAACCCAAAGTGACATTTATGCACGATTAGAAATATGATTATGATCTGCTCAGTTAATTTAGCTGATTCAATTATATTGAGTTAATATGTTCTTATTCTTCAATTCAAAGAATGTTCAAACTAATTTAAACCAAAAAATCATCCTCATTAATTAAGTTAAAAATAAGAGTTACTTTACCATTAAAGCCCATCAATGGGACATATAAGTCACATTTCAGATATTTGACACTAGGGGGGTTACTTGTCAGAAATGTGTTCTAGGTGGTCTATTTAGTCTAAATTATGTTCCCCTTAATTTCCCCAAGAGTAGAAATGGGTCTGGGCTCTTATGGGTTAAAATGCAAGAACACTCAATAATTTACAAAAAAGCACAAAATAACCGTTTATTTCAAGTAAGCAGGATATATATAAAAAAGATGATGTAGGCTCATAGTGCAAATGGGAGTGCACAATTGTCCAAAGCAGCGTAAAAGTGACTGGTGCTGGATTTAGAGATGTGACATACTATAATATAGCTTTATTATTTCTTCTAAAATACTATTTCTGTCAACTTTAAACCCCAGATATTATTTATTACTATGATAATCTCCATATTGGCGCCCTTGTATATCTGAGTGATTAATTTCATTTTTCTTCTGCAGACATGCACGTTGTTTAACTTAAAGGGGGCCTATCATGCAAAATGCACTTTTTGATGTCTTTTATACATAAACATGTGTCCCCGGTGTGTCAGGGAACTCACGCAGCGTCAGAAAACAAACCCTCTCTCTTTTCCTCCGTACCCAAATCTCTAAAAACGGGGCTACAACGGAGCTGATCCAGATTTGCGTCCGATATGACGTAATATCTGAAATGTGGACCCACGGCCCTATCAGAAACGTTGCTATGAGACTGTTTTGGACGTAATATGGTCGGTGTTTACATTAGCATCGCTAACACTCAGAGCTAACCTGTACTGCACAGAGCATGTGTGTGAAGAAGCAGGAAATAAAAAGGAACTCACCTGGTGGTATAACCGGCAAGAGAGAAAGCCTTTGAGCTCCATACTGTTTCAGAAATACTCCTTGATAATCCATGATATGGTGTTTCATCACGGCAGTATTTAGTTTAGACAGTAGCTGCCGGGTCCCGCATGAGCTCAGACCCCTCCGTTTGAATTTTTTTAATAGATTTTTAAATGTTTTAAAGCTTTATACCCCAAATCAGCACTTTTGAAACAGGAAGTGAAATAGAGGGACATGAGGCATGGCTAGAATGGGTGATCTGTTTGGTATTTTGAGCAAAACACTTCATAGACATGTTTTTTTATATATTTTTATATATCTGAGACCTATGCTATTGCTTAAAAATAGCATGATAGGTGACCTTTAAGATCAATTTTTGTAACTAACACCCTAGATTTGACCTTTTTTCTTAGAACAGAATTCTTAAACTTAAAAGCTTTGAGAAAATGATGCAACTTTTATGTCTTTATCGGCATAAATACAGTTTATTGTCTTCTGTTTTATATGAAATTATTGTCATTTAATGGTCTTCATATAAGCTTTTCCACTTATGTGTGTTCTATGTGTGCTCCTACTGTTTACCAAACAATAACACACTAAAAACGAATTTTGATGTAGGTAAAACACAATAGGTGCATCTAATAAGTGTGAACTTGATGTGACCTCACCTTTCTGATGGACCAAATCTGGACAGAGTCCCTGCAGGAATGAACAAGAAAGTAAATTAGGATGAAAATACAAGACATTTAAACTGTTTACATCCTATCTAGTACCTGTACGTTGTTTTGCAGACATCTCTCCTCTCCTCTCCGCAGGATGGGTCCGCTTCCACTAATCTCCTGCTGTTGCTATGCAGCCAGGAGTCCTTAGCAACCATCTCCGGGACTCCTTGAAACTGGAGTCTGTGAACTGTCTCAAGACGTACGTTTAGTGATACAGTGATACATGCAGGTCAGCTGGGTTTGGATCAGATTTCAGAGGAGTACTGTGATAGTCAATGACAGATTAAATATCAGATGTTAAGACGAGAATCTTTTTTTTCCCGTTAAGAAATAGCCTGTAGCCATTAGAGTGTATATATAAAACGGTAGAAGCCCTTTAGAGGCAAAGGATACAAAGAGGATTCTGGAGATCGATTGTTTCAGTGTGATATAGCCTATCAAATATTCTGATTATTAGTAAAGAACAAATACCAAAAAAGGTTTTGCATGGTTACTTTTTTTTCCATCTGTTAAAATAGGATGGGAAATAAAGGTCTCGCGTTTTTGTTTTTGTGATGTAATACTCATTTTAGCCACAAGAGGCTGAAGTGTAGCACTACAGGTGATATATAACAACAGTGTGTGATAGCAATGAATGTAATCCAGTTATATATCAAGGGAAATAATGATTCATTTAAATGAGAGGACTTTAATCTACTACAGTAATTAAGTTTAATCACATATGAAAGCTTTAGAATCAGGTTTATTGTCAGGTAGGTTTTAATAAATAAGAAATGTGCTTTGTATGAGGGTAAGTCTCTGAAAAAAAGGTCTTACATTTAAAAAATATATTCTTAAATTGAGAACCATAATAACTGGGAAGTGTATGCCTGGGTTTCTCTTTAAATAATTGATTGTGTTTTTTAGAAATATAAATATGTTTACCCTTTTTTTCTTGACATTTGTAAAGCGACCCCTCACATTATACAATTAAGCTAAAATACATATACCTTTTGGACATAAAATGTATGATATTTCATTCTATGAAACGCATGCCTTTGTCCATGTGCGTCTGTATTCATCATGAGTTCAATTCCCATATCTACATTAAAAACAAACCACACAACAACCAACACATTTAGTGGAAACAGTTTATTTAAGCGTGAAAAAATACATTCAAACTATTCACACACATACTGTCTGTTTGACATTTTGGTTTTGGTAAAAGGCTCTGAAAATGTAGATGAAATAAAAAAGTGCCTCTTTTTTAAACCTCCTTAGAAATGGTACTCGTGAAGGCTTTGCACAAAACAATGTATTTCCCTTTTTATCCCAATGCTTACAGACTGATTTCACCAAATAAAAAAAGCATTAAGACTTAATAACAAGCAGCTGTGTCGGCTCTCTAAACAACAAAAACACCACGCTAATACAAAAGCGACTAGAAAAGTAAAACCCTATTTAAGATGAACACTTATCAAAGTATGTACGAACATTCATGATAAAACCAATAATGTTTTTTACAAAGCTGTAATCCAACAATAACCCCCCTGCAGTAATAGTGATCGGGTAGTGTTAAAGTTTAGTGGTTAGGTGTCTGATTTTCATAATGAAATGAAAATAAAACAGCGTATTATTAAGGCAGATCTGATTCTAATTGCTTCGTTAAACCACTGTTTTATTCAGACATCGCTTGGGTGGGTAATATTGGAGAATGCAGCATTTTTTCAATTAACCAACAGAAAAACCCATCCCAGTGTTGCCCGCTCTTTTAGGTAACTAGCACCACTAGCTCAAAGGTGGCTAAATCTATCAAGAAAGTGGCCGTTTCTCAATGTGGAGTATACCTGCTGCAGAGCCACTATTTCAAGTATACTAAGTCATCGAGTGGCGCCGAATGCTGGGCATTTAAACAGTCCTTCGGCGCCACTCGAAGACGTAGTATACTTGAAATAGTGGCTCTGCAGCAGGTATACTCGACATTGAGAAACGGCCCGATTCCACTCCAAAACCACTCCCCCAAAATGACCCGGATGAACATATTATGATGAACGTAACAACAAGAAGACATGGCTTTTCCGAGCATTCATAGCAACATATAGCGCTCTTTTTTTGTTTCTGGTTTCTAAATTAAAATGACCCACCCTAGCTTTAGGTAGTTGTGGTGTTATATGTGGTGTAATTGTGCTATTTCTTTATCAGTTGAAATATTAACCGGTCATCAACGGGTATTTTTTATTATTTTTTTAAAGCTGCAATAGTTAATATGCATGTTGCCGTGCGAAATGGCAGAAAGAGGTCACTGCTTGAAAAGTTGAAGTACAAAAAAGATCCCGTACCACCTGAATAGAGCAGCTTTTTTTGTGTGTTTTGCCAACATGTGAAGTGATAATACCAGATCTTAATCAGTAGCCTTGTATTAGGTTTACATGGTGGCTTTTCCCCCATAAAAAATATCATAGGACAGCTTTGAGAGTCGAGGTATTTAATATTCTTCAGATCACAACACATGAAGAACATTATGATGCAGACCAGGTTAGAAAAATAACTCTGTTAGTGCCGACAGTGCTTTTACAGTTTTCTTACATAACAAATTGATGCTAAACGACTGTTAGCAATGCTGGTGCTAAAGCTGATGGCTTGATCAAGCCTACACCCTGAAATGAAGCCTCTGAGATTCTGTACCATCAGGCGATCCGCGGTAAAACCTGAACTGTTTCAAAATCTACCGCTGAGAGGCTTTAGGAATAAGACGCACAGTAACAGTCTGTAAAGTGGAACATGTATGGCTCTGTTGATGACGCTCAACATCCGCTTTGGTGAAAGTAAATCTTTGGTGAATATAACGTTTGAACATAAGCGTGCCCAGAAGGCCTTAAGTTTAAATTAAGACAACAAAATAACTAATTGTTGGTTGTAACGGTTGAGGAACAAAAATGTTTGTGAAGTTTGGAACAAATCCAGAATCTACTTTATAACCCCGAAACCAAAACGGTTAAATACTTTTAAATGTTCTTATTAATAAATAAAGTGTCAGCCTACCTGGTGTAGTGAAAACATTTGCAGAGAACGTGTTAAATCAAAGTCAAAAACAGAGGTTTAAGGATGAGATGTGTCCTATCTGCTGTCAGAGACCATCTGCAGGATCAGCTCTCGAGCGTCCTGAACGCCAGAGCTGAGCTCGCCCTCGCCCTTCTTCACGTGGGTCCCGATGAGGAACAACCTGCGGTCCCCTGCCTCAGAGAGGGACAGAGCGTCGTGCAGATCTGTGATGCTGCAGGCTCCTGGGAGGTCCTGGAAACACGAGGTAGACATGAGGAGACATCCGGCGGCAGAATTAACTCTCTTACTTTCATATTTCCTACCTCTTTTTTTTTCAAAGACATACACAATATACAGTGAGTAGGTACCCGAGACCTTTACATGGCGTACAAGAAAAGAAGAAAAAGGCTGGGTATTACATTGACAGTTCCTGAGAATAGTCTAAAGCTGCCAGTCGAAATCGCAGATACAAACAAAAAGGCCAAGGGTAACCCACTAACAACAACAACTAAAAGAAAATATCGAAAGGAGGAAAATAACTGGGGATGGATTGTTTTTATCTTTGAACTTTTTATGCTATTTTATTTCTATTTCTGAAATATATTGGACTGTTTATTTCTGTGTCTTAGTTTCTCTTATGTAGGGATGCTCCGATCGATCAGCCGCCACAACAGAACAGCGCTATGCAACGTGTGTGAAGCAGAAATCCTGCAGCTCCGCCCGCTGTGACGGACCGGTGAGCGAAACACACATAGAGTTAGACCTAACACACTTAGCTATTTTATCTGGAACAAGCTAAACAATTATATGTTTATTCTTTACTGTCTGGTCACTCATTACTGGATCATTGAACTGCATGAGATACTGACAGGCTGTCAGGAGTAGGGCTGTCCCGAATACCATTTTTCGGGCACCGGATAGCCTATTCGGTTGCAATCAGCAATCATATTCGGCCCGCGCGGGGGGGGCGTAGTAATCAGCAGCGAACCGCTTCAACACGTGTATTTCTGTCAGTTCTCTATTCACGGCATTCATTTCGTTCTACAGTATTGTTGTTTTATAGTTATTTGTTTATGTATACAACCCAATTTGTGTTCTTGAAATTGAAAAAGGATTTTGCATTGTGTTTGTACTTCTCGTCGCAGTTGTATATATCGTGCAATTTGGCTTGGCTTCCTATTTTGTTGTGACATGCTTTTAATTTTGAAGGCAGGGTTAGCGCTGTTGACAGGAAGTTGTTTGCTATGTGAGACAATAGTGACGTGAGATTTACGGATGGGAAAAGTTGTTATCTACTATAAAGACGGATACAAGTAAAACGAGTAAGTTTATGGGTTAAGTGTAGCACCCGCGAAGAGGCACAAGCTCTTGCGTTGATATTGGAGTTTTCAATGAAATAGAATAAAATAAACGAAATTGAGAAACCCGAATAGTACTCCAACGAACGTAATATTCTAGGCGTAAAGCCTAGTCAGGTGACAGAGTAGCAGAGAATATATCTTGAGAGAGAAGATAGAAAAGAGAGCTGCTTTAGCGCATTTTCCGGTGATTATTGCGAAGTTAATGTCATAGTGAAATAATGTGACTTCATTTGAATGTAATAGTTATGCTGGTTGTTGTATCGTGGCAAGCGTAGAAACACTGAATGAACCCCATATAGTATACGATTTAAATCATCACTTAAACTGGAATATACCCATAGCGCACTCGATCGATTGCGATCTGATACGCAGCGAGTACCTACATATACGAGTTACTCAGATGCCAGATGACAGATAGAGTAAATTGATGATCCTGCTGTATATGATGGAGAAGAAGTAAACAGATCCGATCTGGGGCATCTAATAATGACATCATCGATCTATCAACTTTTGCCTTCGCTATCCATCTATCACTATTACCATCGTTATAAATCTATTCTGATCATAGCATATCAGTACTAAAACACAGAATACGCAGATTCTTTTTACAGTGTAGATGGTGAAAAGCTATACAAGAAGTCACGCGCGAACCTTGAGTCAAGTGGTTTTGTGGAAGCGTCAGTGAAATGAGGCCTCATACCTTAATGAGTGTTTAAACTTCCTTAAAGTGAATAGATTCTCCTTAAGGACCGAGTTAGGGCTCCATCCCGTGGCTCAGAAGGTGATATTCTACGTGATTGCCTCCTGCTAGAATTGCACGGGGATAAGATTCCTACCTGTTTTGATACTGATTTCGGTAATCGCCTGCTATTGGTGATCGGAGCAACTTTGTCCCTACTCTTATCGTTTATTGCCTTGTGTTTTTTATGCTGCTGCAACCGTAATAACATTTTTCAGATTATGTGATCAATAAAGTACATATATTTCCTATACATTCTCCATGCTATCCTATCTATCGATGTATCTATTAAGAAAATCAGACAAAATTATGATATATTATTAATCAGTTTTTACTTACAGAGTGAGTAAATTACTAGTATACTAAATGATAGTATTTTATATATAATTGTGTACGAACAAACAGCATTTCCTTTATACGAGTCAAAGAAAGAAACATTATTG